ATTTGCTTATTTGCTTAATCGCCTCTATGGATATATTAATTATTTTTCTTTTCTTTTTGCATGCATTGTATTAACTTGTTTATTAACAAAAAACTTAATACCATTTTTTTCAAATCTTATTTTGTTAATAACAATTGCAATTTTTTACCTGCACCAAAATCCGTCGAAAACATTTTTCTAGAGGTGATTCCGAATCGAATGAGTTATCGCTCATATTTTTAGGACCCTTATCTCTATTTTTCATGTTTTTGAACTTGTTGATTAGACTAATTGTTTGTAGTCAAATGTATATTCGAGATGCTGTTGAAGGATCGCTTGCGACCATATTTGGCAACCTATTCGACAAAACAAACTGCAAAACCAGAACATTTCTTCCCTTAGATATTTTTTATGACGTTCACTCTTTCAAGATAACGACGAACGATGTCATACATGCGACTCGTTTTCTTGTACTTACGATCTCTGAAAAGACCATTAAACGTCATCACGGACGTAATGATCACAATCACTGTGGTTAGATGTAGTTTTCCTTCGAATTGCATGAAATGTTCGTTTACGACCCGAATATCGCTCCGCAGGCACGAATATTGTTTATGCCAGTAGCGCGGACGAGAAAATAACGATCCAACTGTTCATTATCTTGGTGCTTATATACGAATGTAAGTTATCCACGTGTCGGGAAATATGATTTTTTTTTATAATCCTCCAAGAGGTTATGATAACCGTGAACTACACGGAAGGCTAAGGAAATTCAACAAAACTGTACTGTACAGAGTGGGCCAAATTGGACACTTTTGAAGGGAAACTCCTGTTTTCAAACTAGATAGATGAAAACTGATGGCTGTGGAGGTCAAATCTAACAGTCCAGTTTCCAGAGGATTTTACCTTCAGAAGTGGGGTAGAAGATTTTATTTTTTTAATTCATTTCAATGGGTATAAAGAGTAAATTATAAAAAATGTGACTGAATCAGGGCTTGGCATAACTTTTGGTAGCCGAAAAATCTCGAAATTTTCAGACATTTTTCGGTTTTTTCGCAATATCTCAAAAAGGAGTGGGTCTAGCGAAAAACAGAGACAATGTCCCACTGTACTTCTACTACCTGGACACAGATGGTGAGAGAGAGGAAGATACATCCACCTCATCAACCACGGATGAGGGTGGCACGAACAGGTGCCACCCATCATGGCACCTGTTCGTTAGGAAACAGGATCGTCGAAACGTCTAAGAAGGCAGGGAAGTGAAAGGTTAACTTCTCTTTTCATTGGTCAATTTTTCAATGATTCAATTGAAATTAAATACTTCACTTGTTTGATAAAAGTTTTTTCCATACACATGTTTTCTCACTCCCTTGTCTCCTTCATTCCTTCAGTTGGTGATTAATTTTGTAATGGGAAGGGGCTCACAGAAAGGTTCTAGATTATTCTACTTTTCATAACAATAAAGTATATTTTGAATTTTCTGCTGAGACCATTTGTGGAAAGAAAACTCTTTTTATTTCATTCACCATAGTTTTGTTTCATAGTATTAACTTCAGGGTTCCGATATGCCTACTTATTCCTTATGAGTTATCAAATTGTGGGGTGGGGGGGTTGGTGATGAGAGGGGGTCTGGAGAATCTCATCGTACCGAAATATAGTTCGAAAATACAATACAACCGAAGAATGCATGGGTCGCAATAATACACACAAAAGAAGGCGCTATTTGGCTTTTTTACCATTTTGAGAAAAATTGTCCATCTTTGAGATGCTGTATCTCGCTCCCTATTGATCGTAAAAGGAAAAAAAAAGAAAATTTGTATAGAATTCAATGCTCTACAACTTTGTAAAGGGACTGTTTTTCGCTAGAATCACTCTTTTTCGAGATATTGCGAAAAAAACCGAAAAATGTCCGAAAATTTCGAGGTTTTTCGGCTACCAAAAGTTGTGCCGAGCCCAGATTTAGTCACATTTTTTGTATTTCACTCTTTATACCCACTGAAACGAAATAAAAAAATCTTCTATCCCACCTTTGCCTCTGAGATATGAAAGAGCCATTTTGAATGAATGGACAGATAATTCTACCCCTGAAAACATTTGCCCACACACTGAATTCAAATCTTCCTTGACTTCTTCTATGCTCCACAATAGAATGAGGATTTTGTTGTGCCCAAATATAGGAATTGTAGCAGTTGAAAATGCATGCACTGCTCATATAAATTACGTCTATCCAAATACAATTTAACGAAAAATGACGCATTCAGTTACAACTTTCCAGGAACCACTGGCAAAAAGCCATGCGGCCCTCAAAATCTTCTGGTCTGAGTTGATGAACTCTTCTGATCCTGTATGGCTTGAATTTGTGTTTTTCAAAATCCTCCTAACATCATGTCTCGGTAGGCCTGTTGATGTTTTCAAATTTCGCGTTGACGTTTTGGGATTATTTTCAATAGCTACTAGGTCGGTAGGTAGACCTCAAGTGAGTGGGTCTATTCGACCCTCCACCGCAACCCTCAAGGGTTTATTGTGGCTCACGCCTATTCACACTCGACCAAATAAACCCAGCTTCTTAACGATGCCGATTAGTTTGTATGGTGAGTGGTCTTTCAGGTCACATGGTGAGAGTACGGATCTGCCAAACTCAAAGAACCTGATTCGGTCCCCAGCGGGGCAGGCACAAAGTATATGCTCTGCTGTTTCATTATTTTCCAGACAGAGGCGACACACACTGTATTCCGACAGTCCAAGTCTCTGCATACAATGATGTTTCAGATCATCGGAACTGTCTTTTATGAAATGAATATAACAAATGAATGTAACTTGAAATTATCTAAATATAAAAGGGTTTTTTCTGAAGAAAACATAAATAATTTCAAAAATAGTCTGAGCAATGAGAACTGGAATGAACTATATATTCAAAGTGATCTGAATATATCTTTTGACTTCAATTCTAATTTTCCTCTAATAAAACATCATATTAGTAAAAGTACAAAAAAATGGGTTAAC